CGAGAGGATTCCAGTAGCAGGACCCATTATCCAGTTTCACTTAGACTAGGTGCGACGGCGCATCCGAGGACACAGAAGGCGCTGAAGGTGCCGAAGACGTTTCCGCTAGACAAGCCCTCAGGTCCAACACCTCCGCCACAGGACTGGACCCATTTCGAGGGCAAGTTTGAACGGCTGCGGCGACAGCCATCATGTGCAGAGCTATCATCACTCTATGGGGAAATGTGTGACTCCATGGAGCGGGAGCTGTGCGACGTGTTAGGCATCGGGGCTACTGAGCGCGCGGGGTACTGCGGTCGGGGTACAAAGTTCCAGGTAGTCGAGAGGCCAGTTTTGCAGCAGCACGTTTCGGGCACTTTTCCACGGTACAGCCAGGGGTCCAGGATGCTCAGGAGATATCAGGTTTGGCTGGAGGGGCTGGCTTATCTTCATGGGAAGGAGCAGTCTTGGGATTCGGCGGGAGTTCAGGATCTTGTTCGGAAGCTCGAGGCCCCAGTGCAGGTTCTCAGCGGTATTCCAGAGTGGGCGAGTTTAAAGGAAAGTTTTCAGCTGCACGCCGCCGTCTCCCACGAGGAGCTGCAGGGCGCTTTGGCGGCCGTTCGGGCCATTGCAGATGCTGGGGAGTCGAGCGCCAAGACGAAGAAGACTCAGCAGTGGAGGCAATGGGCGGATCAAAATCTTAAGCAAGGAGGAGGAGGAGGAGTATTTCGTTGGACGAAGGAACCGCTGGGTTGGGTCCCTGACGGGGCTGGCCTGGGCGGGGCCCCAGCGGGGCCAGTCGACACCTCGGGGGCCCTCTTGGAAGAATGGAAGCACATATGGCGTGAAGGTGCACCATCCAGGTTAAGAGCCCAGGACCTCAACGTGCCGCTCGGTGAGCTCCCTCCTGCGCCCACGGTATCAGAGGTCCGGGATGCCCTTCAGAAGCTCAGCAAGAACACGGCGATTGGGATAGACGGCTGGAATCCAGGGAACTTGAGACAACTGAGTGATCAAGCTCTGGCAGTTTTCGCTGAGTTCTTATCTTTTGTGCAGACGTATCTTATCATTCCAGAGCAGTGCCATGCGGCGCTCATCGCCTTTTTGAAGAAGCCTGATGGCGGGTACCGCCCGATCGGCACCTTGGCCACGTGCGCGCGGCTGCTTGGTCGCATGCGACACTCGGAGGCCAAGAAGTGGGAGCGCGAGCACCACCTTGAGTGCGTATACGGCTCCAAAGGCAAGTCTTGTGAACAGTCAGTTTGGAAGCAGGCGGCCCAGGCAGAGGCGGCCAACGCTTTTTTTTTTTTTTTTTTTTTTTTTTTTTTTTTTTTTTTTTTTTTTTTTTTTTTTTTTTTTTCTTTCTCCGGTTCGGGTTTGATCGATCTCGAGAAGGCGTGCGGAACAGTTCCTCATGAAGTGCTTTGGGCTGCCTGCCAGAAGCATCAATGTAGTCTTCGTCGTGCTCGCTTACTGATAATGGTGTATGGGGGGCCGAGGATGATTCAGATCCGAGAGGCGGTGTCGAGTGCTTTCTCGATCGGCTGTTCGATCGTAGCGGGGTGTTCGTTCGCAACGACGATGTTGCGTGTTGTATTGCATGACTCGCTCGTGTACATGCAGAAGTACTGGCCATCGTTATCTTTGTATGTACTGGTAGGCGATATCACGGTCTCGGCGCTCGGATCGGAGAAGTTCGCCAGAGAGTCCTTGTCCAGAGCTCTCCCAGCACTTCGCAAGTGATTGCATGAGATGGAGTTTTCAGTATCTAGGAAGAAGTGCCAGCTCGTCGCATCGCCCGGCAAGTTGGCGCAGGATATCGGCGCCAACCTCAAGAGTTTAAATTTCAAGGTGTGCGCGAGTGTCAAGAACCTCGGGCACGATTTCAGCCAGCAGGTAAGGAAAGGTAAGCGAGTTCTGAAAGGCCGCGTGAACAACCTCCGCAAGAGGTCCCATCGGGTCCGTGTCCTCCGTCACCACAGGCGTGGGCTCTCTAGAGTGTTCCGAGCTGGTGGCCTCGCGTCGGCCTCGTATGGGGCCAAGGCTTGTGGCATGAATGACACAGATCTCTCTAACCTCCGAGCGGTATCGGCCTTCGCCCTCTTTGGCAAGGCCACGGGTAGGTCCAGGGCGGTGCAGTACCTGTTGCACGACCCGCCCGACCTCGACCCAGCGTACCTGATAAACATTTTACCCCTCACGACGTGGCTCCAGGCTCTCCATGAAGGTTGGGATCCTCAGGGCGTCATGCAGACTACTTTCGAGGCTGGGTTGTCCAAGATCAGTCTGGGATGGGCTACTGTGTGCGGCTCTGGGGGAGCTGTGGCACAGACGTTGCGTCGTCTTGGGTGGCAGACCAGGTCTTTCAAGATTTGGGGGGATCCTCAAGGGCTCGTGGTGGACCGAGAACGAGAAGGCTGGTATCAAGACCCTCAAAGCCCTGATCCACAGGGGCCCCAAAAGGCACCAGGAGCTGCAGGCGGCCAGACACATGGGCTGGAATGGGACCCCCTTCTTGGACCCGATGAAGGCAGAGCTGCCAGTTCTTCGGGCCAAAGGTCATCCTGTTTCAGCAGATCTCGTTTCAATGCACATGTCAGGTGGGCTGTGGGCGCAGTCCAAGCTCTACGAAGAGCGTTATTCTTTGTCGTCCGCCTGCAGGTGGTGCGGGCACCCGTCTGGCTCGATATCTCACAGACCTTGCGGGTGCGACGGCTTAGGGGCGTGGCGTCGTGATCAAGGTTATGATGAGGTCGTGTCGGTCGGTCGGGAGTTCCCTGGCATTTGCTTAGTTGACTTCGGGGTCACAGACAGTGTGAGAGACGCCATGCTTCCGCCCTTGCAATATCACGAATGCCCTCAGCGCGGTCTCCTAGGATGCGGCTACCTCAGCGAAGAGGTCTTTATAGACGGCTCGGGGGTCAACCCAGATGTGGAGTGGATGGCGAGGGCAGGATGGGCGGTCGTATCTCTCCACCACGGCAGCGAGCAAGTTTCATCGGTGGCCGACGGGCCAGTGCCAGGGCCTGTGCAGAGCGCGGGCCTGGCAGAGCACTACGCGATCTACATGGCATTATGTCTCATGGGGCCCAGGGCGACCATTATCACGGACCACAAGAACCTCCTGATAGGTCTCCAGAAGGGCCCGAGAAGATGTGTTGAGCTTCGGAACCGTATTGGGGAATTGAATGATGTGGGGACGGAGAACGTGAATCTTCAGTGGATGCCGTCGCACAAAAGCAGAGCGCGGCTCAGGAATAGCAGCTTTTCGGACTCCTGGTGCCCTGGTAATTGGCAGGCCGACAAGTATTCGAGGATGGGGGCTCTTGAGCATCCAGCAGTTCCCCAGATGGATCAAAGGATCCAGGCGGCCTAGGTTTTCGGTGGGCAATTCACGAGGCTCCTGGCAGACACTCTGAGGCGCCTGAGTACTTTAGGATTTCCAGATGTGGACAAGGTCCCGAGGGCCACAAAGGTCCCCGGGCATAACCAGATTTTAGTTGATGAACCCGTGTGCGTGCTAAAACTCGCCACGGGGGATCGAGGCCACCTGCTGCGCAACGCTGATGGCAGGTGGGGTTGCAGAATTTGTGGTGTGAATGCGGCTCGTCGGAGTGCAGTCATCCAGAACGAGTGCCCTGGCAAGCCGAGGGTGCTTGCGCGGACGCACGAGTCGCACCGCATGTTGGTGCTGGGCTCGGACTTATATTTCTGTATGCACTGCGGTTGCCACGCGCGGAGGCAGGTCAAGGACCTGACCACGCGCTGCCATCGTGTTGCAGGGGCTGGGAAGATAGGGGCCTTGAAGTACATGCGCCAGGGCATGGACCCCACATCCAAGGTGTTGGTGGGGCGCCCCTGCCCAGTCCACTAATCATCCCCCACGGGCCATTCTTTCACTGAGGGATTGCGTCCGCAGAGGCTCCAGAGGAGGAGGGGGAGGAGGAGGGGGAGGAGGGGGGGGAGGACGGAGGAGGAGGACGGAGGAGGAGGAGGAGGGAGGAGGAAGATGAGGAAGAGGAAGAAGGGGAAGCGGAGGAGGAGAAAGAGGAGGAGGAGCTGGAGGAGGAGGAGGAGGAGGGGCCGGGAGGAGGAGGAGGAGGCGGAGGAGGAGGAAGGGGACCAATGTAAACCCAAGAGTCATCAACGATGTTGAAATTTACCCTCCCTCCAAGCTCCCTCTTCATAGGCCCTTCACAACGTTTCATTGAGGGAACTGCCTATTTGGAATATCGACGCTTTGAAGACCCTGAAGCATGCCAAAACATTGTTCTCGGGATTTCATCGCCACGGACCAATATGATTGCTTTGTCTTGACGAGCCGGAATCGTGCCCGACCGCCATTCTTGGGACCGCGAATGAACATAATTGTTGCGCCTTTATAATCCTGAATAGTTCCAAAACGCTGTTTCTGGTAAGCTGATCATTGGAATCCGGGCCAATCTTGCAAAAATGTGAAAATCATGCGCGCAGAGCTAGGGCGAGAGTCACATTTTGAAAACGACCTGCCCTCAATCCGTGAAGCTCTTGCAATTGGTGCAAACGAATATGCGCGGCGCGAACACGAGAGCCACATATTGAAAACCACCCGTCCTGAATCCGTGAAGCTCGTCCAAGAGAAAGTGCGCGGCGATAGAGCGAGAGCCTCATTTTCAAAACGGCCCGCCCTCAATCTGTGAAGCTCCCGCAAATTGTTAAAACAAATGTGGGCGGCGCTAAGACGAGAGCCACATTTTGAAAACGACCCGCCCTCAATCCGTGAATCTCTTTTGCATTTCTACAACAAATGTGCGCGGCGCTAAGACGAGAGCCACATGTTGAACACCTCCCGCCCTCAGTCCGTGAAACTGAGCACATTTCTAGGATGAGGGAGGGGGGGTGACAGGATTTGGAGGAGGAGGAGGAGGAGGAGGAGGAGGGGAGGAGGAGGGGGAGGAGGAGGAGGAGGAGGAGGAGGAGGGAGGAGGAGGAGGAGGAGGAGGAGGAGGAGGAGGAGGAGGAGGAGGAGAGGGCGCCCGGAGGTGCTTCTGGTGGCCCCGACCAGGGCGCGCGGCGTCTGGACGGCGGTGCGCCCAAGCCTGGCCGTGAGCACCGTGGACGTGCGGAACCGCGGCGCCGTGGGTCTTCTGGCGGCCAGGCCCGCGGCCCACCACCGCAGAGGGGGCGGAGAGGGCGGGTCGGGAGCCAGCCAGACGGGGGTCGGCCAGAGCGCGCGATTCTGCAGGATCCTGCAGCGCCAGGGTTGCAATGACCTGGGCTAGCGCGCAGGAGCTTGCCTGGCTCTACCCTGGTCTGCATTCACCCGTCGTCAGGAGGAGGAGGAGGAGGAGGAGGAGGAGGAGGAGGAGGAGGAGGGAGGAGGAGGAGGAGGAGGAGGAGGAGCTGAACAGCCTGGCTGACCCTGGTCTGCACTGACCCGTCGTCAGCAGATCCCCGACCTGGGGCGGCGGCCCTCACAGGGGGGCCACGCTACGGGGGTGGCAGAGGCTCAAAGGGGGATGCGGGGCGAGCAACGAAGGTCGGCAGCGTTAGGGGGGGGGGGATCGGCTCAAGACCGGGTGTTGCCAGAAGTGCCCCAGGGCCAAGGTACCCCCTCACGAGCACCCAGAGCACTCCTCCTCCTCCTCCTCCTCCTCGTCCTCCTCCTCCTCATCCTGCTCCTCCTCCTCCTCCTCCTCCTCCTCCCCTCTCTCTTTCCGCTGCTGGGCCAAGGTACCCCCAGGATTCTCAGGGTGGCCCAGACGGCCTCCAGAGCACCCCTCACGAGGCCCAGAGGGCCCCAGGGGCTCCAAAACGGAGCGAAAAGCTGGGGGCACCTCGGGCCAGGGGCACTTGTAGCAACACCCGACAAGGGGGATACGAGGCGAGCGACGAGTGACTTCTGGACGTGTCGCCGGTTCCTGCAGGCATCCCCACCTCGGGATGCTCTCCGGCGGTTTGAGAGCGTTCCAGGGTTGCCCGGGTCGTCCCGATCGGGCGCCGGCGAGCTGAGCTGGTGCCCGAAAACCCGACCTCCAGCGGCCCGAGATCTCGAGGATCGAGGTTCTTAGGCTGGCAACGCCAAAGGGGAGGGGGGAGATCGGCGTCCCCCCAACATACTTATACTATGTGTTCGTCGCCCCCCCAGGGGCGACGCGCGCACCGAGAAAGCTTATAGTACATGCGTCGTGGCGGGCGCTTTCAGCCGCCGCTCGAGAAACGATACTCCAGATTTCGCCATAAAAGGGAGGGGGTCACAACCCTCACAGACGGGCAATTCCAGACCCCCCCAAACAAGCCATGAAGGGCGGTTTTTTGCCCAGACCCACTGGAACCCTCCAAGACAGCTCAAATCTGACCCCATCCTAAATCAGACCACCCCCCTTTTCTTGTGAAATCTGGAGTATACTACAAGATGGGTATACCTATTTGTTCGGGTCGGACGCGCACCTCCAAGGCGGACAGATGGTGTCAGTATGTCTCTGTGCGCCCCAGGAGATGCTCTGGGGTGGACGCATCGACCACCAATCGCTAGCTGATCAACGATGGTGGCCCGATGGTCCCCTAATACTCAGGAGGGGAAACAATACACAGACACAATGAATCGTCGACTCCCAGGAAAATATGGGAAACTATGGGAAGTGGGGGGGAAGACAAAAACCCATGTGCGAAACTATGGGGACTATGTTTCTTTGTGTGCATGTATCTGTGTGTCCTGGGGCCCCTTCAAACACCTCCCCAGGGCCACGCGGAGCTGCTGTCAGGGGTCACGTCGCCGACCGGTCGGCGATGCATCGCCGATGCCAGGTCGATGTTTTCTCCCTGCTCCTCTTCCTCCTCCTCCTCCTCCTCCATCCTCCTCCTCCTCCTCCTCCTCCTCCTCCCTCCTCCTCCTCCTCCTCCTCCTCCTCCTCCTCCTCCTCCTCCTGCTCCAGTCCTTCGCTTCTGGTGCCCCTCAAGCGTGGCCGAGCCCATCGTTTGAGCTGGGCTCGCTGTCGTGGTCGCCGCGGGCTTCGCCAGGCTGCGGCGACATGCGGCAGTGAGATGCGCCTGGGCAGCATCGGTCGCCTTCGGTTCGGGGCACCGTGGCACCATCTGTGTTAAGGATTCCTGTCTTCCTCTCGACACATCGCGCATCTCCACCAGGCCACCCGCACAAGATGGCCATGAGAGTTGCTTTGACGATGATGCTGAAGGATGGGATGATGATGAGGAGAATAATGTGGACGAGCCAGAGAAGGGAGAGGACTTGAAAGTTTGAGGAGAAGTGGGAAGGGAAAAGGAGGAGGATGCCGATGAGGATGAGGAGGTGGAAGGGGATGGGAGGAGGGCCGAAATGGGTGTGCGGGACGCATGCGGACGGCAGCACTGGGGCCTTCGGTGGAGCTCCCTGTGGGGCCACGAAACGTGTGAGGGGTGTGCCGAAATGGGTGTGCGGGACGCATGCGGACGGCAGCCATGGGGCCTTCGGTGGAGCTCCCTATGGGGCCACGAAGCGTGTGAGGGGTGTGCCGAAATGGTGTGCGGGACGCATGCGGACGGCAGCACTAGGGCCTTCGGTGGAGCTCCCTATGGGGCCACGAAACGTGTGAGGGGTGTGCCGAAATGGGTGTGCGGGACGCATGCGGACGGCAGCCATGGGGCCTTCGGTGGAGCTCCCTGTGGGGCCACGAAACGGGGTGTGCCGAAATGGGTGTGCGGGACGCATGCGGACGGCAGCACTGGGGCCTTCGGTGGAGCTCCCTGTGGGGCCACGAAACGTGTGAGGGGTGTGCCGAAATGGGTGTGCGGGACGCATGCGGACGGCAGCCAGGGGGAGGAGGAGAGGAGGAGGAGGAGAGGAGGTGGGACGCGGGGCGCTGTCTCTTCAAAACGAGGACCCAACACCACAGGATGGTTGGAACAAAAAAAAACAAATTGATGTATGCCAGGTGCTCCACTGATCAGCGGCATGCAGTGCCAGCCTGTGTAACAAGCAGTGGTACGACGCCTCCCTTACCTGATCAGTATCATCCTTCATGCCCGTAGCCATCCCTCAAGCCAGTGCGCTTCTTTGAAGTGAGCGGCGACGGCCCAAGGACATCATGGACTTGCTCAGCAAGGGCAGAAGAGAACTGGACTCCATGGCTGGCACGTTTCCGAAGTATGGCCAAGGCGATCCAAGGGATGAACAGAAGCGCTGCATGGACTTTCAGGTTCTTGTGCGTATCTCCAGTGGGCTGGATTTCGGCGTCGAGAGACTGAAAACACGTTTCTTTGTCGATGTCTCGAATGCAGGGGCAACTATTGCGGATGTCCGCCCCCGTGCTGAAGAACTTCTGGGAAGAAGCCTCGGTGATGTCCGCGTCTTGAACGAAGATGACATTGAGCTGAAAGACCCTGCAATGGCCCTGCACAAGTTGAGTAAGCAATGTCGACTTAGTTTGCAATACGTGCCAATTGATCGGTGGAAGGGTGTAAAGGGCGTCGCAAATCATATGCGGACTGCACGGGCAGCATGAGCATTCTGTCGGAATCCGAGCTGTGTGCCTGTAGGAGGACGTGCCCGACCTGAGAGCCTGAGAGCAGAGGTATCTGTACCTTTTGGTGGCTTCCCCCCACCGCGCCGCCGCCGGCCCCGGCCGCGGCTGCTGCTCCCCTGAGGCCCTGGTCCCGCCATCGCCCTGGGAGGGGGCCCGGCCTCCGTTGCCTGCCTCTGGCCGGCGCGCGCGCTCCCGAGACTCTGCTGCTCGGCCGGCGGCGCGGCCCGGCAGCGCGAACTCTCAAAGAGTGTGTGTGTGTGTGTGCGTGTGTGTTCGAGGGTTCGAATGTTCAAGCAGTGGCGAGGCGTCCTGGCTCGCCGATAGGCCCACCAGAGAGTGTTAGATTTGTTTGTGGTCTGCACGACAATGTGTTGATAGAACATTCCTGGCCGAGACCGTCTTGTTTCCACGCATCGGGCTCATGTTCTAAGACAATTGTTTCGTTCTGAGAACATTGTTGGGCTCGAAGAACATCTCGAGTTAGGCCTATAGGAAGCCTGGACGGTCGGTCCCTGCTTGCCTCCAGAGTGCCCTGGGTTTATTGGGCTTCGACGGCTTTGCTGTTGAAAGCGTGGCGCTCCCACATCCAACATCCATGGGCGTCCTGGGGTCTCAGGGTTGGGTTTCTTGTGGAAGGTCTCTTGCGGTTGAACCCCTACTGTAGATGTGTGTGTATGTGTGTAGGTGTGTAGGTTTGTGTGTGTGTTGTGTGTGTGTGTGTGTGTGTGTGTGTGTGTGCGCGCTGCCCTTGCTTCATCGACCGGGTCTGCTGCCGTTACGGCCTTCTCCCACTGCGCCACGCTTGCGGGTCTCCTCGGCCTGCCGCTGGTCCGTCGCTGTCCTCCCGCCTGTTCCCCCTGTCGCCACTGAGTCGTCTTTCCCCTTCTCCCGCCCCCACGTGCCACCATGCGATTGCCCCCTTGCGAGTGATGCCGTCCGGTACCCTATGATCTTGGCCTCCCAGATTGGGTCGGAGTAGATAGGGTCGCAGGATCGCGCCGCATCGCCGAATGCATCGGCGATGCGGCTCGATGTGGAGCCCGAGTTTCTCCACGCCCGCGTCACCAATTCATCGCCGATGCATTGCAGATGCATTGTTGATGCATCGGCGATGCGGCGCGATCCTCCAACCTCATCTAGTTACTCTGACCCCATCTGGGAGTCATGTATGATTATGAGTGTATCCGGCACCGCCCTTGGGCCGTCTCAGGGCCTTCTTGTTTCGTCGTATATGAGATCTGTTGGGGCTGTCTTGGGGCCCTCCTTGGGGCGCTGCGGGGCCGCTTTGGAGGTATCTTTGGGCCGTCTGGGCGCCTTCGTCGGGCTGTCTTGGGGGCCTCTTGGCCTGTCTTGGAGCTCTCTTGAGTGCTTTTTGGGCCGTCTTGGGCTTACCTTGGAGGCCCTTGGGGCCGTTTTCGGTTTTGGAAGTCCGAAAAGTCGAGGAACGCCAATCATTGACAAACCACAGGGATCCAGTCATGTTTGCCTCTCCGTGATCTGCTTGAGGGTGTCCTTAAGGCTTCTTGGGCCGTCTTGCGGCCCTCTCGGGCCGTATTGGGGCCGTCTTGCACTGTTTTGGGCCGTGTGGGCGCTATCTTGGCGGGGGCCCGGCCCTCTTGACGCCAGCTCTGGCGGGGAACCCGTGGGGAGAAACTTTTTCGGGCGGTTTCCGGGTGGCCGGCGGCGGCTTGGGCCGGAAGCCCGTCGGAACGCTTCGGAAGTGCCAGGGCACAAGTCGGGCAAACGCCAAGTACCTCGTTGCGAATGGTCTTCGTCCCATCCCGCCGCATTGCCTGGGTCGTGGACACAAGGCCTCTTCGAGTCTCTTGGAAGGCCTCTCGGAATCCCCGTTGGGGCCCCTGGGAGGCCTCTAGGGACCTCCTTTGCGCCTTTTGGGGGTTGGTGGCGGTCTTGCGGGACACGTTGGGATGGAGGCATCAAATGCAGGGGCCCCAATTGGGGGCCTCATGGACCCCTCGTGGGGTCTTGTGGCCCATCTTGGGGCGATGCTGGGGGCCTCTTGGGCCGCCATCGTCGCTCGTAAGACCGACCGAAAAGACGAGTACGAATTCGGCCTCTTCGTCCAGCCCCCAGCGCTGGCAAGACGGCTCAAGAGGGCTCCGGATCGGCTCCTTGGGGCCATCTTGGAAGTTTGGACTCTGAACCTCGGAAGAGTCGGAAGAGCCGAAGCCTCGAAAGAGTCACGACCCATGCCCAGGAAGTGAACAGACAGCTCGAGGAATCCCGTGCTCCGGGCACCTACAGTAAAGAGTATTCGCAGTTCATTCGAGCGGACGTGAAGAGAGGGTCTGTTCGGTCGTGGGCTAGGCGCGGTGCCCCTTTCCCCTGACTGCGTCGCCCAGGTGGGTGAGGTACGTTCCGATCCGCGAGCTGAGCGACGCGGAGAAGGACCAGATGCGCGAAGCGCGGGGGAGAAGGGGACGGAGAGGGGGAGAGGGCCCCCGGATCGAGGGTCGCGGGCGTGGCCACTGCTGCGGCCTCCCGGGGTCCAGGACCTCGCGAGCGGCGAGCATGTCCAGACCCATGCCCTCGCGGACGGGACCGCGTGGAGCGGTGCCGAGGATATACGCGCGGCCCCATGGCGCGCGCTCCGCGGGGGGGGGGAAGGCATCCCCGCGCAGGGCCGCCCCGGGCCCCTGCGCCGCGGCCGAGGAGAGCCTGGAGCAGGCGCCGTGGCCCTGGACTTCAGTCGGGCGCGTCCCCCCTACAGGAGGATCTTGGGCGAACAACGACGAATACGAAACAAATGCGCCAAACATTGTCGAAATACCTCCAAAAAGTCCCCAGATTTTTTTTTTTTTTTTTTTTTGTTTTTTACTATTTTTGATTTTTTTTCCCCCTGGAGAGGGACAGGCCCGACTTAACTCTGGACCTGTTTCCTGCCCCCAGAGATCCAGCGTATGGCCTGTTTTTGGAGCCTGTTTTTTGGAGCCTGTTTTTTTTAGATTCTGGCAAGTTTACTTGCATGGACGGGGGGGGGCTGAGCCTGAAGCAAGCCCGGGGGGGGGGCGCGGAAATCGCGCAAGTCGAAAGGCACTTGCACGCTGGTATTCGCTTGAAGAGGGGCGAGGGGGGGGGGCGAACGCCATGCAAGTAAACTTGCCCGAATCCAAAAAAAACAGGCTCTTTGGCTTTCCACTTTCGGTCCCTGCAGGGGCCCCCGCCGGACCCCCCAGGACCGTCGAGACGCGGCTCGGGACGTGTGGACACCGGTCCCGGGGGAAGGGGTCGAGACTTCGGGGGGCGGCGCGCGGAACAATCAGGACAGAGACACAATGCATCCTCACCCTCCTCCTCCTCCTCCTCCTCTTCCTCCTCCTCCTCCTCCCTCCCTCCTCCTCCTCCTCCTCCCTCCTCCTCCTCCTCCTCCTCCCCCCCCCTCCCCCCCCCTCCCCCTCCTCCTCCTCCTCCTCCTCCCTCCTCCTCCCTCCTCGCCCTTCCTTGCTCTCAGGAGGGGAAAAAACACACAGACACAATTCTTTACGCTTCGCGTATCCCCACCAGCCCATCTCACAGCAGCAACTCTTGCGAAGCATGCCGACAGTCGTGTTTTTCAGGCGTGTGTCCGCTTGGCCCCGCATATCTCCCCTGTTCCTCCTTCCTCCCGCCTCCTTGTACATCCTCCTTGTGGGGGGAGCGGGAGAAGGACGAGGCGGAGGAGGAGGGAGAGAAAGCGCTCTCGGTGTGAGTCGTTCGGGCTCCTCGTGGTGTGAGTCGTTCGGGCGCCTCGTCCTGGTGTGAGTCGTTCGGGCCCCTCCTTGTGGTGTGAGTCGTTCGGGCTCTTCGTGGTGTGAGTCGTTCGGGCCCCTCGTCCTGGTGTGAGTCGTTCGGGCTCCTCGTGGGGCCTCTTGGGGGCCTCTTGGAGCCTCTTGGGGCCTCTTGGGGGCCTCTTGGGGGCCTCTTGGGGGCCTCTTGGGGGCCTCTTGGGGCCTCTTGGGGCCTCTTGGGGGCCTCTTGGGGGCCTCTTGGGGGCCTCTTGGGGCCGCTTGGGGGCCTCTGGGGGGCCTCCTGGAGGGAGCCTCCTGGGGGCCTCTTGGGGCCATCTTGGGGCCTCTTACGGCCTCCTCAGAAGCGCAAATGAGAGCTGCCCCCTGAGAAGGACAACATGAGCCCAAAACCTTCGTAAAATCAATGATTTTGCTATGAAGGACGATGAGCGCGGGCCCCTCAGAAGGCCAACATGGGGCCCAAACCCTAGTAACATCAATGTTTTTGGCTTCGAAGAAGAGCAGAGGGGCCAAACGGTCTCTTCCCCTCGGGACCAGAATCCTCGTGAGGGTCGTCGTTTTTTGGCCCTCCCAGGAGTCGAAAAAGACCCCCTTGCCACCACTCGGCCCGCCCTCTCCAGGCCCAGGGGAGGGGGTAGGGGGAGGGGTAAACCCCTCCCCGAAGGGGAAGATAGGGGGTTAGGGGGTTGAGAACAGAGAGAGCTCCCTAAACCACTCACGCCCAAAGGGCTGGTGGGATTAAAATCCTCGATTCCTCAGAAAACATTGGGAAAGTATGGGAAGTGGGGGGGAAGACAGAAAGCCCAGAACATAGGGGGAAACATGGGGTATATGTTTTATCCGTGTGCATTTATTTGTGTGTCCTGGGGCCCCTTCAAACAAGTCGCGACGCCGGATCTCTGGCTGCGCCGCCGGCCCCGCCGCTGCAGGAGTATACTGACGTGGAATTGGATCGTATGGCAGCTGCGGAACAGACTTCCCTCGCCAAGACCGTCGAGCAGGCCACCAAGGCCGAGCGCCTGGCGCACCAGGAGGTGCAGTGGCGGCTGGACAGGTTCAACAAGGCGAAGAAGCATATGGACGAGGCACAGAGCTTGCACTTGGAGGCGGTACAGGAGCTGGAGCAGGCTCGAGCCACCACTCGTGAAGCTAATGAACGTAAGGCCTCATTCGATGTACAGACCTTCAAGAAGGAGAAGCGTCATGAAGTTGAGCAGCGCCGTCGTCAGCGTGCCGCCGAAGAGGCTCGTGCTGCCGCGGATGCTCGCGCTGCTGCTTCAGTGCCCCCCGCCGCTGGCGTCCTCGGTGCAGCACCCGCCACCGCCCCAGCGGGCGTTGCGGCCGCCTCTCGTGCCCCAGGCACTGGAGACGCGGCCGCCGCGGGAGCAGGTGCCCAGGCCAGCGGCGGCGTGGAGGCGCAGCCCATGCAGGAGCCACAGCCCATGGACGAGGATGATGCTGATGTCCCTTGGTTGCGCGGCAAGGTTGTGGACTACATGTTCGTTGAGGCCAACCTGCACACCTTCTCCGATGACGACCTCGAGAAGCTGGTTGCCTCCTCGGCCATTGGCCTCGAGCAGTGGCAGCAGTACCGTCTCCATCTGCAGCGGATGCGAGGCGTTGGCGATGAAGATAACCTTTCCGACCTGGGCAGTGAGGTTGCCGACAACGACATGGAGCCCCAGGATCGCGACAGGTACCGTGACCTCAAGAGGCGTGCGGTGGAGCAGGGACTGGACGTGCAGGCGGCCCAGGAGTATACCGACCTCCTCTCCAAGCGCATCATGGCGAAGGCGGGCAAGCGTGCCAGAGTGGTGTCCTCCGTCACGGCCGACATGTACCGCAATTTCTGTGATGCCACGGCCAAGCAGATGGGGGTTCCTCGTGCGGCCGCAGCCGTACCACCTGGACATCTCCCTGATGCTGCTCCCGCTGCGAAAGGCGCTGGGCGTGCTGCCGCCTCTGACGCCCGCTCGCAGCAGCCTCTTTAATGATCTGTTGCCTTCGGCCCAGCGAGCCGAAGGCACATGCTCGCTAGCACCTTGTCAGTTGCCAGCTGCGAGCACTCAGGTCAAGTTTAAGTTTGTGAATATCACACAGTGGTCCAAGCTGACTCAGGACTTCTTGGCAACTAAGGTCGCTGAGGTGGATGGAGTGTTCATGGCGGAACATCACCTTGAAGGGACGAACCTGTTCCGTGCCAAGAAGACCTGTCGGCAGATGAAGTGGAATCCTCATTTCCAGAGTGCTTTACCGTCCCCAGGTGGAGGCACTCATGGAGGAGTCGGGGCTGCTGTACAGCCCAGGTTGTGCATACGGAAGTTCCTGATTCAAGCTAAGGGTGCAGTCCAGGTTGGAGCAGGAAATTGTTGGTTCTTCCTTGAGATGCGTATGAAGTCATGCACTGTTGCAGTAGGTGTGATCTACCTCATTCCTTCCATTGGAGTCTCTGGTGAGAATTCATCTCGGCTTCGTGCAGTTGCCGAGTTTGTCCGTGGGCTGTCTATCCCGTGGTTCCTGATGGGGGACTACAACATGTCTGCCGATTTCCTGGAGGATTCGGGTATCTTGGAGCTGATGGACGCTAGGGCCCTGGTTCCCAAAAACGTTGAGTTCACCTGTTCGGTTGGTGAGACCTTGATTGACTATGTTGTCTGTTCGAATCGGTTGTCTGGATATCTGCGAGTCTCCGCCGACCTCCTGTCCCCGTTCAAGACCCATGCGTGCCTGGACGTGCTGTTGGATCTTGAGGCTATGGTGGAACCCGTCTGTCTCCGTGTGAAGCCCCTGGAGATCCCTGAAGCGTATGGACCTGATAACCATTGGTTGAGTTACATGGCTGCCGCCGCTCCCAGTTTCCTGGAGGCCCCCTTGGTGATGCCCGAGGACCTCCACCAGGCGATGCCCGCTCATACTTTGGAAGGTTTGTCTCGGAGTCTTGGGATACAGTACTCTATCTGGTCTAGAGCAATGGAGCTCCGTGGTCTGTCTCGTGCATGTGCCATTGTCACCGACCCGCACCGTTACTTAGGCAGAGGTTGTATGCTGAAGCGTAAGGACTCGTCCCTGATGACCCGCAACGTGCAGGCGCAGAGTTTCAAGAACCCTGATTTGTCATATTGGTCTCTTGTTTCCAGTCGCCTGTATGAGTTGATGAAGTTGACTCGAAAAGATCCGTATTCTCAGGCCGCGATGCAGCACAGGCGCGTCTTGGCTGATTTGTCGTGCCACATTTTTTCTCACATTGAGCCTCTTGCGAGTTCTCAAGCTGCTGTGTCGTGGAAGGATTCCCTGAACCAACCACCCTACGTGTGTCATAGATTGGAAGAACTCGTTGAGGCTGCAGGTGTTGTGTGTACTCGCGCATGGTCTCTTGCACATGCCAAGGCCAGGGGCAGCATGCGCACTTGGTTGCAGTCATCCCTTCCCAGAGGTGCTAGCCCCGTCCACCGCTATTTGAAAGCTGAAGAGAAAGTTTGCGTTGAGTATTTCTTGACTCCTGAGGGTATCGTGGACACCCCTACCTTGATGATGAGCTTTCGGGAACGGAAGTGGAGTAAATGGTGGACCCCAAACTCTGAACAGCGTGTGTGTCTGGAGGCAGGCCTTCGTGAGCTTCGTTCGCAAGCATTGGTCGTTCTGCAAGATTTGGACCCGCTTGAAGTGCA